CTTCACGTGGGGCAAAGTCCCGATGCTGGCCACAAATGTGCTTGGAACCTCAGCCTGTTGGCTAATTTGGCTACAGATCTGGGCGATATTTATGCCATCACAGCGAAGAAGCATGAAAAAACATCACCGTACATTTCTGGATGGTGAACTAGCGTATAATCCTGCGAGCAATATTCAACTGGGTCAACCTTGGATAGATAGTTTAGATAGTTTAGCACAACTTCATCTGTTGCTGTAGATACATATTAGATAGGAACCCCCAAGTAGATGCTGAAAAGATCTGAAAAGTTGGAACCATCGAACTAACATCCCGGTTTCACATGTTTCGGCATCTTTTTTGGGGGCTGCTATTAGCTATGGGTTTGAATTCCATTACGAAAAAAGGCTAAATCACCATGTTTCACCAATGTTCCAACAAGATTCCAATCAGATTCCAGTATAGCTTCACCAGACAACTTCATTGCTCTATATAAATGTGGATATATTATCATTGGGTGGTGGTTTGGAACATGAATGTTATTTTTTCCATATATTGGGAATAATCATCCCAACTGACTAATATTTTTCAGAGGGGTTGAAACCACCAACCAGTATATTATCATATATTAATTTAACTAAATAAGCACCATGGGTCCCTATGACTGGCCATGCTTTTGACCTTCTGGCGCAGTGCCAAGGTCACGCCTTCGGAGCCCGTGTCCTGCCCCATGGACGCGGGCAACGTGCGCGACGACGACTATCCCGACCGGTCGGGGGACCCCGGCGCTGGCGGAGGCGTTGTGTATACAACTGGGTTGCTCCAACTATGAGCAAATGATAGCCACAACGGCGGTAAATCATGGTAAATTGGTAATTTTGTATCTCCCCATATTACCTTTCTTGTACCTAAAATGGTTTGGAGCAAGCCTGCAAAAGGTCGCGAAAAGGCTGAGATTGATCAGAGTTAAACCATGAGTATAACATACACATGACCACCGTCTAAAATGGGTCAGACTTTTTGGCATGATCAAGGTTGGTTGATCCTGATTCTGGGGACCACAGATCAACTGTTATGTTTATCAGCATTCAACAAAGAAGTGGTTCCATAATGGTCCACTGATACATGGAGCATATGATGAGTATTAAACATCCCATACCCCTTACTTCAAGTACTGACCATCCCTTAGCCAATTTCCAAAGTACCAGTATTAGCATTGACCCTTCTTTTTTAGTATTATATAACACACCATCCATAATGAATCCAAATTAAATGCCTCCTTCGATGTACTTGACACCCTCCCAAATCACTGCCTCAGATGGTTCGGCTGGATGCTCATCGTAATAACAATAGCCATCACCCTCTCATGACCTATGATTCAGAAAAAAATCAACCCCCAAGATCACCATTCAATTTTTTGAGGTTTCTGATGGTTCAGTATCTGCCACACTTGCCATAAGTTGCCAAAAACACCCCATGATCTCCACAGCCGGCTGCGACCCCTTCGGAGCCCAGGTTCCGCGTGTACCGCAAGGGCGGCCAAGTCTGCGCACAGCGCACGGACTACGACAAGCTCTGGGGCTTGGATTTGGTGCGGGATCCTACTGATGGGAATGGGACCCTTTGTTCTGGATGTGTTGTTTATTGATTTCTTTTTAGTGTTTGGAATGTTATAAGATGTTATAAGATGATATAAGATTTCGGGATTTGAGTTTTGTTGTTTTTTTTGATGTTTAGGTTATTTTTAAAGATTGTTGGGAAATTGTGGGGAAATGGGTCCATGATGGAGATATCATGGGGATCATGTGACTGGATCGTACTGGATCCATGAAACTCAGATTACCCCCTGGTTATGACGTTCACAGTTCGCCATGGAAGCCATGGCCCGAATAGAAATAGATGGTTGACCTGGGTTTAATTACCTGGGTTTACCGTTCTGAAAAATTGTGATTTTCCATGGCGAACTGTTAAATAACCAGATGATTATCTGATTATCTGAGAAATCTTTTGGAGAAAACTAAAGATTCAAATGCTAGCTTTGGGGAACACGACCAATGACCACAGAATTGGGAGCAGGAGTTGAGTGACAATCAGAGTCAACAACTGGTGAATTATCATGATTGAAACCCAATTCTACGATGACCAGTTGAAGGATATATCAGAGCTGCTAGCCACTTCTCCCCATCCATACGATACTGATTATAACGCCTTGCATGACACCCTCGTTTTCTGTAGGTGTCTCTGAAAATTGCACTCCCAAACCGCCAAAAGCATTGTTTTCCCCAGGAAAAACTTGCACTTTTTAGATGCTTTCGGGTTCCCCGCCCATTTCGGAAAACCCCCGTTATGTCCTGGGTTATGGGGTGATCCCTCTAGTATGCCATGGTTTTCCTAATCTAATCCCATCACAATCCATCATAAATTCCATAACCCATCATAAATCCCTAAGAAAAGTTCCATCAATGAATCATAATCCATCATAAATCCCATAATTCCATGTGTTCCCATAGTTTTGGTGGCTTTTAGACCAATGGCTCTACCCAACCTGGATGGGTCCGGATTCCGCGTCCAGGTCCTGAAGTGTATCAAGGTGGAGTCAGGGGGTGAGGAGTTATGTCTTGGGTTATGTTACATAGAACATGGTAACATTTGGTCACATTTGGGTTATGTTACAGAGCTATGTCTATAATATTTACATAAATCACATGCTTATAAATCAGTGAATCTGTGAATTTGTATCCGGAAAGAAAGGTTCATGACGTGGTTTCCAAGAGTCAATTTTCCAGCTGAATGTATAGACTACTTACATACATGTGGGTCATTTATGGGGTAAATGTTGGGAAATATTCCAGCACCATGGAACATACGGGTTAGGGTAGTGGTTTAACCATCAAGCAGGGAGATTTCACTGGGAAAGAATTGGGATATATTGGATATATGATCAACAATATAGGATTTGGGTTTGATTGAAAATATGCGATACAATCTAAGTGACAATTTCGTTGGGGAAAATTGATGACAATAATCCAGTGGAATTAGGGATACACTATTTTCAGACAAAGCCTTACGTGGGTGTAGGCAACAAAAATATGGATTTAACATTATTTATCCAACAGAAAAGCTGCATTTCACCAGCAGCAAATCGCGGGCTACCCGTCAAAAGCCATGGGATTTAAGAACTGAATTCCATGTTTCGGCCATCTACGGGGTCCGCATCCCAGCTGAGGAATATCCATATACCCCAGTAAGATGTGGTGGAAGATCCTCCATTACATCCATGGAACTTATGGACTGCTTGCAGTGCCTGTGATGCACATCCAAGTACTATATATATATATATATATATATGTTACAAAGCACAACATCTGGGTAGATAAGCGCCAAATTTGACCATATGGCTGGCGGGTAAATAACCCAACTGGAACTTCAACTGCTTCTGGTTGGTGGTTTGGATTTTTTTTTCCATTCATTGGGATTTTTATCGTCCCAACTGACGAACTGATATTTTTCAGAGGGGTAGGCCACCAACCAGATAATTACCCTCTGGTAATTTAACATAGCTATTGAAAATGGTGATTTATAGTGGATTTTCCCATGAAAAATGGTGATTTTCCATAGCTATGTTAGTTTACCAGAGGGTAACCATCATTAACCATCATTAACCATCATTAATCACTATTAATCACCATTAATAAGCACCATGGGTGGCTTCATTTTTAACATCCAAAGCATGTTGCAAATGGTAGGGGTGATCTACAGGGGTACAATGGGAGGGGTAGAAAGCTTTGACCCACAACTTGAAACACAGATCTGATGTTAGTAGAGCAATAGGATCCACCATCCCCTCAAATGGGTGGTATAAACCATCACCATATGTGTGGTTGATTCTTGCGTTACGTATATATATTAGAAATCCACCAAGCCCCCAACAGGTTCGCCTGAACCTCCAAATCCGCTAAGACTCCTTGTTTGGTTCTTCCTGAGCCGCAAGTGTCTGACGAAGACGAATGACCTGAAGGCAAGTGATTGAACGGTGCTGCTTTGAAACTCCCATTAAATAATTAAATAGGATTGTGCAGAAGCTCCGGTCTGCGAACATGCGAATGCATGGGAGAAAGCAATGCGCAAACGTTCATCACAGGCATACATGCCTTCATTTGAATTTGCATACGACGTTCGTGCCGGGAAAAATGGCACCGGAAGACTTTCCCAGATCGCAAATCTCATCGAACTTCACTGCTTTCAAATACTTTGCCAGATCTGCCACGCGGGGACCCATACCGGTCTCATGGCGCATCACCCAATTCAAGTAGTTCACCTGAGTTGGGTCCTTCACAATCTCTGCATAGCTCTTCTTCAACTGGATCACGGCCGGCAACTCACAAACTGTGCGGCCCCATTCTTCGATGGAGCTCACGCCGGGTGGCAGTAGCAGCTTGCCCGGAGTCATTGGCTTCATCGGCAGTTGGTTCACTGACGAGCCAGGCTCTGGAGCCGGAATTAACCAGCTATTCTCATCGCATTCGGACTCAGCCCACAGCTCCTCTTCCAGATCTCGGTGACGCTTTGACGCGTCGGTCATAGCACCAGGAGTAGGCTCCAGTGTTGGGATCACGGTGTCGTTCGATTGAACCCCAAACTGTTCCAATCTGGTCATGAGCTGTTTCATCAGCTGGAACTCTTCTGCGGTGATGGGCTGCTTGGACATTGCAAGGCTATGCAAATGCGGAGAGCGGCAAAAGTATCTGGATTTCACAAAAACGAAAAGGGAAAACAGTCACGTCAGTGCACACACCGACATAGGCTTTGGGCCAGTCTTCGGATCTACAAAACTGTGGAATGCGGCCTGCAAAAACTGTGGTATCGTCAGCTTCGCCCCAGCGACAACTGACGTTTCTCTTCAGAGATGTGCGGCTTACGGCAAAATAGTTATCCCCCTAGTTAACTATCATCTCCCAGATTATTTACATTGAAAGATTAATTAGGCTCTGACACAAAGGCTTAGTGCGGTGAGCATCAACGACTAAGATCCCTCAGCTGGCTCTGAGGAAACAACCTTTTGATGATCAGTCTTGTTTTTCTCAGCTCTCTCATGGGCTTTCTGCTGTCGCAAGAGCTTCTCTTCCTTGTTACGCTCCAAGACTGTTTGCTCATCAGCCAGTTGGTATCTACCTTGGCGGATAACTGAGCGAAGGAGGTCAAGTGGCTCTCCCTTGTCCTTTGTTAGTGCATCGGCAACCATATGACCTGTTGGACACCACCTAGGTTCAAGACCGCACCTTTGAATGGATTGTCTGATGATTGCGATATCAATCGCTGTTCTCTTGTCATCTAAAGTACCTCCATTACCAATGGTATTGAGGTGATCATACAGGGATCTGCAATCACTGACTCCGACAGGTTTCCGACGCCTAAGCACTTCATCGACATTGGAGAGAGGAAAAGGGCCGTCAAGGCCTTCGGCCAAAACCAGCAAGATCCATTCAGCTATGCTGGAAGCCACTGCAAAACTTTGAGCTTCACCACTGAGCGTTGAGGACACCACTCTTGGCAATCGATAGGACCGCCAGCTCATGCAATGGATTGAAACATCCTCTCCTACGGAGAAACTCTTGGGTGCCATGGCCATTAACCAACCGCCCTGCGTGTGCAAAGACTGGGTGTTTGCAAAGGCAGCATCAGACCAAAACACAACAGTGAGATCTTGAGGGGGAATGAAAGGCACAGTGATTTCCAAATCGGCTTGTTGTCTCGCCCGTCTGACGGCTTGGTTTGCCTGCAGTAAGTCCTGTACAGTGGGCACTGGAAAGGCCTGTTGTGACAGCGACGTCTGTACTGCAAGGTCTGGTCTAGACTGTGAACTCAGCCAGCCCAGGGCGCCATTTACGGCTCTCAATGCCGCCACTTCTCGCTCAGATGCAGGAAGCCAATACTTCTTGGCTCTTTCTCGGGACACATGAATTGGTTTGATGCTCTGAGCATACTCTTTCTGATTATAGCTAATTTCTTTAGTGATAGGATTTTGATTATATTGGGTTCCCAAGAACTCACCTGAGCCAGTGCGCCACTTTCTGAACGGAAACCTTTCCTTCAGAGATGCTATGGCACGCTCATATGCTTCCCCGGAGCCTCCGGTGATTGTGTCATCTACATGGGCACCTAGAACACCTTGCAAATCACCTTTGGGACCAAAACACCAATACAAACAACTGTCGAAACGAGAGCGAGTAAAACCGGATTGAACTGTGACATCATTGAATTCTTTGTACCAATTGGCTGGTGCATCATTTGCTCCGTAAATGTTGCCTAGTACTTGAACCAACGATCCGGGCTTCACACCGGGAACACCTCCGGGCGGAAGTTCTGCGTACACAGGATTTTTCAAAGCCTGTTCTCGAACATCTGCTTCAAGGAAGGCACCTTTGATGTCTCCCAGACCCATGTCCCATTGGTGACTTACAATGAGCTGGAGTATCAAACTTCGGCTGAGCTGGGACAACGTAGGACTATGGCAACGGCCTGCAAGAACTTTTTGAATCAAGTCAGGATCGTGATGTCCTCGCAGACACCATCTAGATTTAACTCTAGTGCTTTCATCCTCTTGTTTTTCTGTGATCACAAACCGACTTGACATAATTCTATCAGGCTTTTGCTTACGGATAACTGCTGCCTCATGGGGTGGAAGGACAACAATTGCTTGCTTCTCATCTTCTAGGGTATTCCACTCCAACAGCTTTGACTCATCAATCTTGGCTTGCAAATCCGGTGGATTCTTAGAGTGGTGCAGCTCCTTTTGCATTTTCTTTTTCATAAAGGTTGAGAGCAAGACTTCTACCCCTGCATCAGGCTGTTCCGCAATGCACTGTGCCAAAAGGCAATCATCAGAAGAATTTTCGGTACGAGCGCTCTTGTGCGGTGGATCTGCACTGGGCTCTCGCGATGCTGGCCGCTTGTGTGCCTCACTATGTTCTTCGGACATCTCCTGCAACGCATCCATGAGATCTTCTGCTTGAGTCTGAACTGGACGGAAAACAAACATGTCGGGACCCTTTTGTTGCCTAACACGAACGGGACCATATGTGCTAGTTTCTGAACTAGGACTAGATGTGCTGGTGGCAGGATGATATGGTCCACGCATCGCTGAACTGGCATTTGAAGCCGGCTCATTGGCAGGCATGGCTCCGGCCGTGTCTTCAGGTATTGACGGCAGAGCAGTAGTCACTGGCTGACTGGCGATCGGTTCTTCAGGCCTTGAAGACATATGAATCCAGAAACGAGATTCACCTGTCCAGGGCTCTTCTTGAACTTTCTTATGTTGTTGGTCGGATATTTTCCAAGGAGTGTCAATCCATTCATCCTGTTCACATTGGCAGTTCCCCGTTATGCTAGTTAACCTCCAATCATCCAAACTGAAGTTCTTGACTACAGGATCTTCGGGATCAGGCATGAAGGTGTGTGTTCGTGGTTCCACATGTACCCTACGCAAGATCTCTCCTTGTTGAATCCAGTGATCTTTCTCAGTTGAACAAACTCGATTCTGGGAATCAACCAAAGTGGGAGGACGAGTTTGATTTGTGAGATCTGTGAATTGATGGCCAAGAAGATTCTGACCCTTGTCGATTAAATCAGTCAGTCCAAGTAATTCACGACCATCAGTCTGAGCTGCAAGACGTTCCTCATTGGAAGCATGGCGAAGGTGTTCAGGAGCAACCTTGAACATGTTTTTCCTGTGAAATACCAAAAAGTTTCTCCCAACTTTACCCAGAACAATTGCAGTACCCCACCAACGACCACCAACCAAACGAACACCTCGTTGATACTTCTGGCTTCTCCAATAGCAAACCAAATCTCCAGCTAGAAAATCCCTTTCAACACGAGGACGTGCATTCATGGCCGTTCTCAAGGTCGTGTCATCTTGAGCCATGACAACTGCAACTCGGGCTGATGCTCTAATTGCACGGGCTCTCGCAAGTGGTTCATCATGCAGAGGTGACGACGAGGCTATTGGACAAGGCCAGTCCTGAAGCAAATCTTCGGGAACTCTAGGGTTTCTGCCGAAAACCAACTGACATGGGCTGAGACCTTTATTGTTGATGAGCTCATTCTTACTGTTGGCTGTTTGGATCAAGCAAGACTCATATTCTTGTTGTGACTGCGGCTGAGTCTGATCCAACACCTTTTGTAGGATGACCTCAAACAAATGTCCATGCTTTTCTACCTTACCCAACTGGTTATGAGCTTCGGCTGCCGTGCTCAACACCCTGATACCGGACTGCTCCAGAAAGGCGACAAAAGAAACTGCCGTGTTTGTACGTCCTGGGTCCATCAGCACTTCAACTGGTGGACCTGCCCACCGAAGCCAACCTTCTGTGAACAGTTTCTGCAACACCTCTGACGTCTCGACCTGATAAAAAGGAAGCATGACTTGATAGCTGGAGGCATAATCCACTATGTTCAGGCATTTGACACGCTGTCCAACTTTCCAACCAGGTACAATTTTAACATCGAACCCAACTTTATGGTTAAAGTCGAGACAGGCACTGGGAGACGCTGGAAGGCATGGTGTCGGACGTTGTCGTTGAATGCAAATTGAACACTGCTTCTCAAAGTCTCGGGCCAACTTGATTGCTTGTTCTGTGGCACCTGCATTCCGTAAAATACGCATGAGATCTTTACTGGAGGGGTGTCCCAAGTTATTATGGAGTTTAGTCAATGATTGCATGACTGCGGAATTCGAATGCTGGTCATTCTTGGCGGCTGCCAAGACTTCGGAAATCAGTGCATCGGACGGTTCTTGACATGCATCACTGCTCTCACTCTCAGACATCTCAACTGTTGGCGTCTCCTCCAGGCAAGCAAACGAGCACAAGTGACATGCTGAGTGAACACAACTGAGCCAGGTCTTGCAAAACTTAGGAGTGTACCTAGCAGATCTGCTACTGATGTTTTCTCCATCCGATCCCTTCCCCGCTATCACCGTGTGGTTATGGTGTCCTGGGCATGTGAAGGCCAGGGACTGCATATCGCTATGTGAGACCATCAGTGCAGCGGGCTTGAGGATTGGTGTGCCATCGGAATCGGTCAATCCATAGGCACACATGTCGGCTCGGCACTTGAACATTGATTTGGTGACTTTGGCCATGGGCTCATACTTCCACATGTCAGAGCTCCATGGGTGCTCAATCAACACTCGACCACCACGTTTGACTTGGCGTTTGATCTCCTGTACACAGAAATCCACTTGGCGTTTGGCATACTGGCGATTGCGAAGCTTTTGCTCCATGCTGAGATGTTTCTGATTGAGTCGATACCAACCTCCCCAGTGTTTACACTCTGGACAGATGATCAAAAGATCAGGGCGAGCTTCATCAAGCTCCTCGCTCACTTGTTTCTGAACTGCTGGCTTTGTCAAATCCCAGCCTTGCTGAATGTCGTAAGAAAGCCCCGTTTTGCCCAACTCACGAGCCACTTCCGCAAACCTGGGTGGTGAGAAAAGTTCTGCCACCAAACATCGGCTTGAGGACTTACTCCAGGACTGTTGTTGTGCCAACAAAACACGAGCTTCTCGCTTGGTAAGACCCTGAACTCTTTCCTGAGGTGAACATCGCTCTGGAACTGCGTTCACCAACAGAGACTCCTGAAATTCAGAAAAATCCAACATGTTGACGATGATCTGACCGGATTCATTGTACTTCATAGGCTGAGCACCAGCGCCCAGCAAAGAAATTGTTTCATTGTCAAAATCCAAAATGGTTTGCAGACTTTTCATGGTTGCTCTGCTCAATAACAGGGGTGCATTGCCTTCTATGATTGCCGCTTCAATTGTACCACGGCGTCCAAACAAACCAACTGGCATGATGACAACTCGATCAGACCACTCCTCGCTTCCATTGCCAAACTTGAATAGGTTGCTGGCCGGCTTTGTCGCTGGTGCAGGCAGATTCAAACGATGAAACAACCTCATGAAATCAGCCAAAGTTTGTTTCCCAATGAGGGTTTTGCTGCAACCAGAATCCACTATGCCGTATCCAGGTGAAGACACCAGAAACACTTCACTGGACACATTGGCAGCTGATGCATGGTCTACCACCGCTGCTACCTGCTTTTTGCTGCGGTCTGCATCTGATGCAGAGCTAGCCGACTTTGAGGACGATGACTTTGGGGCCGTACAGTCTTTCGACCAGTGACCTACTTTTCCGCAGTTCCAGCACTTTGACTTCTTCCGCAGGTCAGAAGCTTCACGGGTGAATTGTTTCTTCACCGACATTGCCTGAGAAAACTTTCGACTGCGCTGTAACTTGGAAATCTCACTTCGACGCTCACGCCAGGTTGCTGCAAGAATCTCAGCAACTTCCGCTTCATCAAAAGCATCAGAGGTTGCAGTGTTTTCCTCCTTAACCCCATAGTCAGCCAAGAAAGCCTCAACCTCGAAGACAATGGCATCACTAGGGTCAGATTCTGGTCCATCCTGACCAGTTTCGGAATCCACCGTTTCCTCCTCGACCATGTATGCTGCAGAGTTGCGCACCTTAGCTGTTTTGGCTGGAGCCTTGAAGTCCGGAAAGCAACTTCTCATGGCTGCCATCACGGTTTCTAACTGCAAATTTCCCTGGGTCTTTGCAGTGACAATTGCCCTCTGGTCCTCGGACAACCCCGAGGAGTGAAGGCATATCCAGCCTCGGGCCTCCGTTGGAAAGTCCACATTGACCTTCCTCTTGCACTTTGTGAACACCTCCTGAACCCTGGAAGTCCACGCGACCATTGATTCCCCTTCAGCAGAAGTGATTTGAAACACCTCTCGCAAACACTCCATCATCCAGTCGTGCTTTTGTTTGTCAGGAAATCTCTCATCCAGTGCCGTCCAGATGTGACTGTCGCCTTTGTCCTCCGTGAGTTTGTCCAGAGACAAGTGTTCTACTGATTCCAGTGCAAGTCCATCTAGAAGACAGTAAACAAAGGGGCCACGCTGCTTGTCACTCAGATCTTTCGCTGAAGCCATTTTGGCTTCCACCCACAGTCGCCATTTCCGATACTCCTTCCCATCGACATTCTCGCCGCTAAAACGCTTCCACTGAGCGCCCTCTCGGGAATCTGAAGCCATGGCTACACCGTGGGATCACGTGCTGCTTTTAAGCCGGATCCTTCCTAGGACCTGAGGCTAAGTGAAAATCTAACCGGATGCCTCCGTGTTGGAGGCTCCGCTACCAGTTAGAAATCCACCAAGCCCCCAACAGGTTCGCCTGAACCTCCAAATCCGCTAAGACTCCTTGTTTGGTTCTTCCTGAGCCGCAAGTGTCTGACGAAGACGAATGACCTGAAGGCAAGTGATTGAACGGTGCTGCTTTGAAATATATATATATATAAGTATATATATAATATAATATATTAATATATATATATATATCAGTATCATATATATTACATATATATATGTATATACATATCATATATCCCTGTATATCCCGCACTCTAGCTTGGTTCCCTTATATTTCACCACCACTTACGGTCACCCGCCTTTCCACCTGCCAGTTGGACGATCATCACTTCGAGAAGGTTCACATTGGAAGCAGCGATGGCAGCAAGAAATGCGTCGGGAGCGCCCAGCGTTTCCAGCTGCCAACCTATCCTTGATGAGTTCTGGGTAAATTATAACGACCTCACTACGACCTCACTGGAATCATGGTTAGTAAGGGAAATCATCCCCAAATGGCCTTAATTCAGGTTAGTGAATTATTATAATTTACCCAGATGAGTTGTGAAGGATTTCAACAGCCACATGCTTTGTACCACATGTGGCATAATCCAATAGCCTTCAATCAAGGGATTTCAGCCCCAAATTTCCGTGATTTTTGGTTTTTCAGATGGCAGACCGTATTCTCATGTCTTTCCAAAGTTTGTCAAATCCATATGCTACTGTTGATGGATAGATGGGAAACACGGTTTATGGACGGAACGGAAATTGGATGGACGGATGCATGGGGACAAGTGTATACAGACGGCTTTGCAACTCACACAACCAAATTAAGGAACAAACACACCCATGTCAATCTAGAAATCAAATGTAATCAACATTTGCAAAATTAAACACTTATAATATAATCATTATTCCGAAACCTCTATTTAACGATAAAAACTACATAGTTTCCCTGTGTGTTTGACCTCTTGGTACTGGGACTGGGTCCTGGTCGTCCTGGTCAATATGATCCCCGCAATTGACGCCAGTTCATTTTTCCGGAATGTGCCAATATACGACATGTTCATACCCTCAAGTTGGAAGGTTCTAGAATGCCCCCCCCCTGGGTATAAACACGGAGGGTTCTAGAATGATTTTTTTTCATTGTAGAACCCCCGGTCCCGTAAGCATTGTAGAACCCTGGAAGCTTGTATAATACAGCATAATATATTTTAATATTTATAATATATTATAATAACATATGATGATGTATCTGTACGATTTAATTCGACGTCACGACGTCACCCCGAATTAACGAGGCAAAATTTTGAAATTAAGGGGATTTGTACATAAAGTGCAGAAGGTCAAATAAGATCAAATAAGGCCTTAACAACGTTACAGAGAAATACAGCTATTTAATGCTATTTCATGATATTTCAGCATTGGTCTATAATACCAACAGTTGAAACACATTGATCTGGAATGTCCCAATTTCTCTTGTGGAGAGGAGGGAAGGGTTCTAGAATGGTTTCCTGCATGTACCAAAGTGTGATTCAACATCCGTGGCCCATGGATTCCATTTCAGAACACATAGATGTAGCTCTATACACAGAAGGTCAAATAAGATCAAATAAAGCCTTAACAACGTTATAGAGAAATACAGCTACTCAATGCTATTTCATGATATTTCAGCATTGGTCTATAATACCAACAGTTGATTTGGAAACACATTGATCTGGAATGTCCCAATTTCTCTTGTGGAGAGGAGGCAAGGGTTCTAGAATGGTTTCCTGCATGTACCAAAGTGTGATTCAACATCCGTGGCCCATGGATTCCATTTCAGAACGCATAGTTGTAGCTCTATACACAGAAGGTCAAATAAGATCAAATAAGGCCTTAACAACGTTATAGAGAAATACAGCTACTTAATGCTATTTCATGATATTTCAGCATTGGTCACAATACCAACAGTTGATTTGGAAACACATTGATCTGGAATGTCCCAATTTCTCTTGTGGAGAGGAGGGAAGGGTTCTAGAATGGTTTCCTTCAGGTACCAAGGTGTGATTCAACATCTGTGGCTCATGGATTCCATTTCAGAACGCATAGATGTAGCTCTATACACAGAAGGTCAAATAAGATCAAATAAGGCCTTAACAACGTTATAGAGAAATACAGCTACTTAATGCTATTTCATGATATTTCAGCATCGGTCACAATACCAACAGTTGATTTGGAAACACATTGATCTGGAATGTCCAAATTTTTCTTGTGGAGAGGAGGGAAGGGTTCTAGAATGGTTTCTTTCATGTACCAAAGTGTGATTCAACATCCGTGGCCCATGGATTCCATTTCAGAACGCGTAGATGTAGCTCTATACACAGAAAGTCAAATAAGATCAAATAAGGCCTTAACAACGTTACAGAGAAATACAGCTATTTAATGCTACTTCATGATATTTCAGCATTGGTCTATAATACCAACGGTTGATTTGGAAACACTGGTCCATTACAAGAAGTGAAGATGTTGAAGAGTTTGACGCATGAGTGCATCATCGAGTATATAAAGTTTTGGATGATTTTTAATGATTTTTTTAAGGGTGGAAGATACCATTTCAGAACCCATTTTAGAACCCAAAAACGGAATAGTGGCCAACAATTTTAGGTTCTAAGACCCCCCTTGTAGATTCCATTTTAGAACCCATATTTGGGTTCTAAAATGGTCCCCAAGGGGGGTTGAAGCAACTTGAGAGGATACATGTTCCATGTCAATGTGAAACCACGAGTTGGCCATATCTTGCCTGAAAGATCTTAAAGGTGAAAAGCACAGAATGATGGATAAGCCATGATATGGTAAATCAGGATGGATAAGCTATGTTCACATTGGAAATCTCACAATGACGATCTATATAACCATTTCCAAAGAATGTAAAGCAAAAATGGGCCCACCATCCCTCAACATATACCCTCTGGTTATTTAACATAGCCATGGAAAATGGCCCATTTATAGATGGTGTACCGATTAAAAATGGTGATTTTCCAAGGCTATGTTAAATAACCAATGGTATATGTATATATATATATATGTTATATATCGTTTTACAAAACATTATACACCCATTATTTCACTAATCCATCAATTATCCATGAATCATCCACTATAGTTCGTTATTTTCCCATATGATTCATCATTGATTGACCAACATTAGATGACTTTCACATTTTAAGAGAATTTTATTGAACAATATAATTTACCACAATTGATTGACCAAAATTGAGATGATGACAATTTCCATTTAAGAGGACCTTTCACCATTGATTGATCAATGGGAATTTCAGGATCCTAAAATGGAGGTACTGTACCATATAAGGCCATATTTTGCTGGGATATTCCCTTACATAGGCCTGAACAACAGGCCTTACATATGTTAGGTACCTCCAATTTAGGTTCTTGAAATGGCCATTGATTGACCTACAGGATGTGCCCACCCAGTTATGTTTGTTGGTTTATAACCCCATCAAAATATAGTTATTTGCGTATCATGCACTATTGTTAGTATAGTTATAAAGTATGTTAGTATAGTTAGTTGGTGGTTTCAAACATTGTTTATTTTCCATAGTATATGGGATAATATGGGTTATAAGTTATAAACTAACTTAGCTACCCTCTGGTAATTTGTCACAGTTCGCTCTTGAACATGGTGATAAATAGTTCGTGGATTTACTCATTGAACATGGTGGATTATAACCCAGTTCGTTCTGTCAACGTTTTTGCAGAGGGTAACTAACCATTATAACCACCATTAACCATTTTAACCACTATTATAACCACCAACATTATGGTAGATATAAGTGGTTTATATCTACCATAAACCATTGCTAAACCACTTATAAACCAACTTAGCTCACTTAAACATGGGGAATATTCCAACGTCCATTTTGAGGCCGTTCCCATGGGATTTTTCTGACCGTACCCATGTCGAGGTGCCGCAAAGGTCTCCTGTGACCTGTGATGACGCGGCGTCACAGGTGGAGCCTTGGGAGTTGGGGATGATTTGGTGGGAAGTTCCATGGGATTTCGTGGGGATTTGGTGGGGATTTACCCTCTGGTTATGTCAAACATAGCTATTGAAAATGGCCATTTATAGTGAATTTTCCCATTAAAAATGGTGATTTTCCATAGTTATGTTAGTTTACCAGAGGGTAGTGGGGATTTCATGGGATTTACCAGTTGTGGATGGTTAAGAACTCCTGCGCCAGTTAGTAACTATTGGAAACGATATGAGATGATCATGACTTACCATATGCCATGACTTGCCATGACTTGCTATGACT